AGAAGAAGAAGAAGAAGAAGAAGAAGAAGAAGAAGAAGAAGAAGAAGAAGAAGAAGAAGAAGAAGAAGAAGAAAAAGAAGAAGAAGAAGAAGAAGCTGCTGCTCTTAGCGAGGGCAGCCTACGTCTCTTGCAAATCTGTTCCTGGAGTTTCTCTTCGGGTTCCTTCATTCTCTTGGCCAAAAGTTTAGCGTATTCGGCAGCCTCTTCGTTCTCTCTCATGCCTGTATGAAGCTTGCGTTCATTGTGCCCTGAGTTTCTGACAGCTGGTGGCTGGGAAGATATGCAGCTTCATCTTGACAGGGCCTGACATTCACATCTAGCTTTCTTTCAACTCGCGGCAATTTCTCCCGACTCAGCTTTCCGAATACTGAGATTACAGGCTCGAAAATGCCCTTATAAATCGTTCCTAAGCACAGTAATTCACATGCTTGAGTGAATAGGACATAAGCTTTTCTCAAAAACAAAACGAACAGAAGACCGAGCCACCACCCTGGCATTTTAGCGTAAACTCGGGCGACACCACGGACTTAGACTAAAATGGTAACTACTTTGTGTCTGGTAAACAATCACTTCACAGATTCCTCTAAAACCCGACTCAGGTGTCTCACTCGTCGGGCAGAGGCGGGAGGTTCGATGTTAGTTCCGGACAGAACCTGTCTCTGCAAGCTAGTAAATAACTTAGCTGGCCTAGGCCCCCGGCATGTGCGAAGTGGAGGCAGGGGGATCAAGAGTTCAAGGTGGTGCAGTCGAGTTCGAGACCACGTGAGTTTTGCGCTTCCCTTTACCCCAGACGTCCGCAAGACTCCTGCAGGCTTCCCTACGCCGGTTTGTACAGTCTCTGCCCCACCTCCAGGTGTTTGTTTATACCGTGAATCGTCTCCCACCATCACGTCGTGCTCCCCAGAAGGCCGCAGCCAAGCGGACCTCAGCAGACACTGGTAGTTGGAGCCCGGTCCGAACCTGGCGGGGAGGTGGAGGCACTAAGCACCCAGGCGCACAGGGCTCCCCGAGGCCTCGACACGGCCAGGCGCAGTGACTAATAGTGGACGCTAGGGGGCACCCGAGACCCACGGAACTCAAGCCATTAAATGGCTAAATAAAGAGCACTGAATATTAAGTTTTCATAAAGGGTGGATGTGTCTCTTTATATGCAGCATTTTAAATAGACCACTTTCTGAATTTTTACTTGTTCGCTTTTTTGAGAGTATCATATAACCCAGGCTAGCCTCATAGCTGAGAATGGCACTGAACTTTCTCTCGTTTCCATCCCCCAGTGGCTGGGAATATAGGCGCTCACTGCCGCGGCCGAGTATTTTTATGCCGTGCTGTGCTGGGGGCTGGGCTATGCCCAGGGCTTCAGGCGGGCTAAACAAACTACGAAATGAGCGCACCTCCAGGCGTTTATTTCTTCCTGGTAGAAGTTTTTGTGTTGTTCTGCTTTTCCGTTGCTTAGTGTTCTACATGAGAGTCACTGATTGGATTGTTGAATTCCTTTTTTAAAACAGTCGAAGGCATGAGATCAGAGAGCAGTTGTATTATTTTGTTTGTCTGTTGCTCCTAGTTGGAGACTCCCTTCCAGAGCGTCCTGCTGTAATCTGGGCTGGCTCTTCTCCACGCCCGCTGCCCAGCTCATCTCCCCATCTCCCCGGCATGCTTTGAATCCCTTTCCTCCTGGCCTGGGTTGGATCTCCTTCCGTCCACCCCAGGGTTTTGCCTCCCTCACTTACTTTTAGTTCGGACTCTGGACATTCGTCATCCATTGGTGGCTCCTGGAAAGTGTTGAGTCCTCCTGGCCTGTGTGATTTTGCTTTTGTCCCCACCGGACCAATAACTGGAGAACTGCAGACTAGTAACCACTGTCCCTCAGCAATCAGAAGGCCACACTCTCTGCCTTTTATTCGGGGTGTTCAAAGTCATGCCGCAGCGCAACCTTTGGGAGGTGACCAGCTCTGCTCCTTAACGTGTCACCTTCGGCACTGCTTTGTCACGGTCTGTACGTTGATATGGAGCGCTTGAATTCTTTTCTCTCTGGAGTGGCTAGTGATCAGACTCAGGACCTTGCACATGCTGAGCCTGTGCCCAACCACCGAGTTACAGCTTGGCCATGCCTTTGTCTTTTATCTTTCTATTTACATTTTACATTCTATTACAGACACAAAGGGTTCAGAACATCTTCCCTATAGAGACTGGACTCCTGCTTGTTAATTCTGGAATGGGGGTAGGGAGAGAAATGGAATAGAAAATGGGAAATCAGAATTTAAATGTTTCATTGCACAACATGTGCTGTATCAAAACTGTTAGAGAATAAAAAAGAAAAGAAGAGAAACAGAAGGGCTTTTCAGATGTCGCTTCTAATTTGCTAAAACAAATCAGTGTTCCAGGGACCGATTTGAAACACATCCCTCCCTAAAATATGCACATGGTTGGAAGGCTTTTTGCACAATTTCTTCTGAATGTAACAAAAGGAAAAAAAAAAAAAAAAGCACAGGCAGTTGGAAGCCATGGACTGCTATCTGAGCTCAGGGGGCCACCAGCAGGTGACCTTGATAAAGCCCTTTGACACTCTGGGTCTCCAACAACAGGATTTATAGCTTCTGCAGCCCAGGTCAGCAAAGCGCTTCTCTGATTTACCGGTTTAATTGGCTCAAAGGGTAAAGTTTGTCCTGCATCCTCAGCACTCGCTTGAAATCAGGCTTGCCCCTAGACAGACAAGCATGTCCGAGAGGTGACAGGTGCCGGAGCTCCCTGGTTTGGATAAACGTTTATTGAGCTCTTGCTGTGTCACAGACCCTGTCAGGCCTCAGGCAAAGCCAGCCAGAAACTGGGTAGAGCACCGGAGACATCTCCCTTAGTCTGCACTGCAGCCCCTTGGGTGAGGATTTTTTCAACCTCACCTTACAGTAACAAGAATTTAGGGGGCTGGGTGTGGTGGCGCACGCCTTTAATGCCAGCACTCGGAAGGCAGAGGCAGGAGGATCTCTGAGTTCGAGGCCAGCCTGGTGGTGTACAGAATGAGTTCCTGGACAGCCAGAGCTACAGAGAAACCCTGTCTCGAAAAACAAAAATAAATCCAAAAATAGATACCTCCCCCCCCCCAAAAAAAAACCCTTAGGGATCTTGACCACGCTGCTTTTCATTATATCCCCAGTGTCTGCAACAGTGCTTGCAGCAAAACAAATGTTTGCTGAAAAAGTGAAACTTACAAGTTACATAACAGTCGCCATATACCCGGCTGGTAGCTGCTCAGCTGTAGGTGTTGCTACAGAACCGGCGCCAAGCGGTGTTGCAGTCACTTAAGGCTCAAGGACATTGTTCGCGCATCAGGTTCCACACCGCTACATTCTCAGGAGAGCCGGGACGAGCCAGCCCCACCAAAGCCGCCTACTCACTAAGGTAAGCAAGGGTGCTTCAGTTTAAAGCAGCGAGGGGCGTTGCTTAGCGACCAGAGGCGGCAGCCCGCACCGCGCGTGAGCGAACCGGCAGGCGCTTGGCTTCTCTTTTGCGCATGCGTGGGCGGCTGCCTCAGCAACACGCTCGCGTCCCCGGCCCCGCCGGGGGCGGGGGGGGCGGGGGGGGCGGGGAGAGACTGACGGTTGCTAGGGCGACAGGAATACAATATGGCGGCCGGGTCCTAACGCTCTCCAGGCAGAGACCACCGGGAAGGTCCACGAGCAGGAAGCCGCCTCAGGAAAGCCGAAGGCCGGTACCACGGTCTCCTCGTTTCCCTTCGGCCCGGGGCAGACCAGGGGCTGTCGCCGTCATCCACGTTCAGGATGAAGAGTGAGTGGGGCCGGGGAAGGGCCGAGGGTCCCCGGGGCCTGCGCGGCGGCTCCGCCGCGGGGTGAGTCCGGCTCCGGCACCTCGGGGAGTCTGGGGAGTTGAGTGCGATTTCATTCATCCGTTCTTCACTCGTTCGTCCGTCCGTCCGTCCGTCTGTATGTGAGATCGCACCTAAACCCAAACATTCGGCTGTGGGCTCTGAGCGCCCACAGTGTGGCCCCCGGCCCTTTAGGGACAGCGGCAAAGCCCGGCTGTGAGTCTTACTTTTTGAAGCAGCCGTTCAGTGCAATTTAAAACGGTCGCTTAGAAGTTGGGAATTGAGGCAGTCATTCTAGAAAATAGAAGGACTGAAAAAAAAAATGGACTTATTGTTGGGTTTGTGGGTAACTTACCTTGGGACGGCAGTTTGTTTTCACAGCCGTACAGTTCGGACTGCCTTTTACAGCTGCCTGTAGCCGGAGGTGCAGGAAAATCGCAGTTCCTTTTGCTGTTAAGATTAGATTATGTGTAGTTACCATATTAAGTTTACATTACATTTTGATTGCCATGCAGTAATTTCTATGTTACCGTAATTTAGATAACATTAAAAAAAAAATAAGTGATCTCATTCACCCTCCATCAGGCATTTTCATTTCTTCTGTCCAGTAGTATTTATGTGGTTATCACTTCTATTTGGGGGGTTTTCTTTGAGAGCAGAATCTCATTTAGCCCAGGCTGGCCTTGAGCTAGATACAGCTCAGACTGGCTTTGAACTCCTGGCCCTCCTGCCTCCGTATTTCAGGCACTGGCATTACAGGCTCTGCTACCACGTCGTCCAGCATGTTTATCATTTTCACTAATGCCTCACACAGCTGCAGTTAAAATGCACAGCCTACAAACATCTTTACATGTTTACTTAGTACTGCACACTAATAGACACATGTTATTCTCTATTTATCTTTTCCTCCCCAAGTGTTTCATTTTCAAATATGCAGAAGAATTAGAAGGGTACCCTGCATATTCCCACCTCTTTCATTATTTTGTCTTGTTTTGTGCACTCATTTTGCTCTGGTGTTCTTTGTTTATTGACATTTGTTTCTTTCCACCGAGTTATTTGTAGACATCATGACATTTCACCACTACTAATTCAGCAAGTATCTACCTAAGGGCCAGGGACTCGATCGAGGCTAGGGAGGTGGCTCACCGGATAAAGTGCTCGCTTTACCAGTATGAGAACCTGAGTTCCGTCCCTTCCGACCCCCGGAAAGCCAGAGGCAATGGCGCCTATCTGCAATCCCTGTACTCTTCAGCAAGATGGGAGGTGGACACGGAGAATTCCTGGGAGCTCAAGGGCCTTTGCTTTGGCTACTCCGAAGCAAACAAGAGACTCTGTTTCAAACAAGGTGGAAAGTGAAGCCCAAAACCCAAGGTTGGAACATTCACCTCCCTCACAAAACAAGGCCATTCTACACAGTCACATGTTGCCATATTGACACATACACATACACACATTTTTCCATGTGCAGATGTATTTAGGAAATGTGACTGCAGTACAACTGTTATTTAATATACAGTTCCTATTTCAGTCTTTTCAGTTAACTTAGTAATGTCCATTGTAGTTATTTTGTTTCCAGAATCCAGTCAGAAACACAAATTCTATTTTGGTGTCACATTTCTCTGGTTTCCAAATTTGGATTCATCTGATGGTTTTCTCATGATTAGCTGTAGTTTAATTAAGTACTCTTGTAAGTGGTCGGTCAGGTGATAGGTCACCTTCCCAGGGTTTCCCACCAGAGTGGCTGGTGTCAGCTTATTATGTTTTACTGGTTAGAAGTGATCGTTGGTCACTCTGCTGACCCACCTTTGCCCTTGGATCCTTTGTGCTCCAGTCTCGAGAGGCAAACACTCTCACTGTGTCCTGTGTGTGTTTGTTTACATATGTGTGTATCAGTCCCTCACACTGATTCATACTGAGTGTAGTTTTAACTTTTCTGCTCTTAGTGTTGTTGTTGTTTGAGACACCCTGGCTGGCCTAGAACTCACTGTGTAGACCAAGCTAGCCTCAAAGTTGGGGCAATCCTTCTTCCTTTGTCTTCTGAGTGCTGGAATTATAGTCTTGTGCCACTGAATCCCTCCCTTTAAGAAAGATTACTGCTGGACAGTGGTGGCGCACGCCTTTAATCCCAGCTCTTGGGAGGCAGAGGCAGGTGGATCTCTGTGAGTTCGAGGCCAGCCTGATCTACAAAGCAGATGCCAGGACAGTCAAGACTGTTAAACAGAAACCCTGTCTCAAAAAAAAAAAAAAAAAAAAAAAAAAA